CTTCTTCTTCTTCACAATCATAGCCATCTTCTTCTTCTTCATAATCTTTGACACCCCACATTTCTTCACGGTTCTTCTCACCCCCGCGCCCCTCAGTTCCTTGTGTTTTCTTCTAAGGCAGTGAAGCTTCGAGATCTATCCATCACTCACGTGACAAAACATTTCAAATCTAAAAATCGGCAAGGGGGCAAGGGCTACATAGGCTATAGCGGAGAGGGGTAGCATTAGTGAGTTATAAGAACTATAGATCTGATTTTTTGTTTCTTCACTATCCTATTCTCTTCATCTTTAAAAAAAATCAAACTTTCTTTGAAGGAGAAGAATAAAGGTGTAATATCCTGATTTGAAAAATAAGTAGATTAGGGAAAGAAAAGGCTCAAAAGGGTTGATAGTACTACTCATACCAACAAGAGCATCTTCTTTTCGAGAGCTCATCAATTAGAAACTCCAAAGTTAAGATGGGTGACCCCCTAGGAAATTCTTTGGGAGTGCACGAGTGAGGACAAAGTGCGCGGGACAGACTCGTGTTGGTTTGTGGGGAGGGGGTTAAGGTTGAAGAGATTTGATTATTAATTTCATCCATTTTTTAGATCTAAAATTGAAATTTTGATTTTCTTTTTATGTTTAACTTTTTTCCATTTGGATCTCCACGAGATTGAAGAAAGAGAAGAAACATGGTTTGAGATGAAGATTAAAGAAGAAGAAGAAGAAGAAGAGGAGGAGGAAAAAATAGCAATAAGGCCATGTGTTATCATGGGCTTGATGGGGGCTTGACCACCGCCATGCAGGTGCCATGTGGCTTGTCCCTCCCATCAAGCACATCACATGAAGGGGTGTTATTGCGGGGACTTAACCATTTTTTTGTTTTTTTTGTTTTTTTTTGTTTTTTTGGTTTTGTAGATAAGTTCTTTAAACATATAAATTCAGACAACGGACTTTTTTTGAATACAATACATAAAAAATTACAACTGGAAAAGAAATACGAAAAAAACTACAACAAAAAAACCAACAAGATTAAAAAAATACATTGAAACAAAACGGGAAAAAATATAACTAGTCTTTCATGTTCCATTTAGCCCGGATCTTCGCCTTCGCCTTCTCGGCATCTTCTCTAGCTTGTCCGGTCAAATGATATGTTGGAGTCCACAGCAAGCGCATATCAATGTTGTATTATTTTTCTTGTTGGAGAGAAGCAAACATCTTCATGTATGTTGATATCTCGTCCAACTTCTCTTCCAACTTGTTATTACTCCACGAGGACATTAGATCCGTTTTAATTAAAAATTAGTTTTTCGGGTAGATCTCGTAAAATGGTGCCCAACGGTATATAATTTGTAACATTAAGGACATACGTGTAAAGCGTGGTAAATATAATATACGATTCAGTTCAATAAATATAAATAATTTATATTATAAAATACTAGATTAATATTACTCATAAAACCTACTCCAAGCTGGATACGAAAACCCCTCCCCACTTTTGTATATACTCACGCACGCAAACCCAAAAAGAAGAAAAAGGCAAAACGAAATTGCCGCAGGAAAGAAAAGAGAAACAACGGAAAACAGGACAAAGCCAGAAGTTTGGGAGACGCACTGTCCGCCGTGCTCCGTCGTCGTGTCGTCGCCGCTTGCTCGCTAGAGATTCTTCACCCCCTTGTTTTATTTTAATTCATCAAACAATCGAGGTGAGTCCATGGACATCTAACGCTAAATTATTCGTATAGATTTGAAATTCTCGTACGTAGTTTTGTATGTTTGATTATATGGTTTATTTAATTATAATTGAATTATGATTTATTTGGACGCGGTCTGGCCGGCGTAGAATGCGGTCATGCCGGAGTAGGACACTGTAACACCCCGGCCAACCCGCGTAACCCGAATAAATAGGTTAGCGAACCGGGTTGCTACTAAATTGGTATCCACATACAATATTTCCAATAAATTAAAACATTTAAATTATAATCCAAACAATTTAAAATCATTTAAATACATATCGGAGTTTAAACAAACAGTGCAGAAGCCTTATAATTTAATTAAATATCAACTTTACTAAATCCCTGCATCCATGCATCTCCTCCGTCATGGTGCTCTCCGGAATGGATTCCAGAATCAATCTTCCACAACCACCTACGTGTAGCAAATGGGAAAAAAGGGCTACACGCTCAGCAATGAAGTTAAGTGAGAAATATCTATAAGTTCGAACATACACATAGGCGAATCCACTAATTCATAAGTATCACATGATATCATGCACACAACATGATTGACAACAATCATACGGCATACAAGATATAACATGCATAATCAACATCATATTAGTTCATAAGATACAAACAACAATGATATAAGTATTAGGAACTTTTCTTTTTAGTTTACTTTACTTTACTTTCCTTATCGTACTTGGCTCTTAACCTAAGTTAAGTTAAAGAAGCTTAACTGAATTTGACTTGCCTATGGAGTCATGACCTTCCCCTTCGGAACGAAAGTCAAGCTCAAACCAACTCGGGAGTTCCTCGTTGGGTGGGTGAGATCCCTATCCCCTTCGGAACGACAGTTCTTAGATCTCTGTGTACACATTTTTACCCAGACAACCATTGGACCCAGCAGGTACCACATGGCTCTAACTGACTATACCTATGACATAACTTGCCACTAATCCATTCAGGTCATTTCCTAGAGTTTTTCTAGGTGATATATCCAACATTTTTTAATCAATGCATAATACAAAATTCATAAATTCACAATGCATTTAACAAGATATCCAACATAATCAAATAGCGGCCTAACACTGGGTGTAAACACCAATGTTTACCGTCATGCAACACATAAAGTCTTGGAATCAATCCTTGATGAAAACACAGATCGAAAGACCCAACACCAGGTACCAGACGGTACCAGTCACGGTACGAGGTACCGTCCTCACGGTACTTGGGTACCGGTCTTACGGTACCTGGGGTACCGTCCGAACCATCTGGGCTCTTCCGGTAGGACTGTCACGGTAGCCGACTACCGACTGGGCGGTAGGGCCTACCATCCGTCCGGTACCTAGGTACCGAACAGTCACAGCTACCGTCAGAGGGGAACAAAACAAACAGAGTGTGACGGTAGCACGGTACCGTCCTGGCGGTACGGCCTACCGTCTGACGCAACAAAATCCATATTCATACCTGTTTCGTTTTGCAGCATCAAACCATCAACAATATTATAACAACACCAATAGATTCATATTGACGTTCTAAACATTAGCAAGAACTTTAACTCGTAACCAACACCTAATAATGCATACTACCCTTTTGATTCAACAACACAAATTCCCGAAACCATAACCAACAATTAAACAGATAAATCACATAGATCAACCACGATAACAATCATGAACGGAATTTCAAAGCTAGATGTATATTCTAGTGTTAGATGTCCACATACTCATCTCAATTCTTTTGTCGTACTCTTACGAAGGTTATCGAAGGGTCATTGTCGGAGCACGTCCCCGTTGTCCGCCATCGTTCTCATCACCCCCGAACCCGTAATGTTGTTCGGAACCTCAGTTGCTGCACAATTGACTCTAGAGCACTGGTTTCGCTACCCGGGTCCCGCCCGGCTACCCAAGCTCAACCCGAACGTCCCCAAGGTTGCCATCGTCTTATCAACTGCCGAACGGAATAAAAACAGCCGCAGCTACTAGGGTCTGCCGAAACAAGGATGAATCATTGTTCTCGTTGTGGTCTAAGCTCGTCGCCGGAAAAGATGGAGGTTGCTGGGGCTTGCTGGACTTCGCCGGAACAGAGGGAGTCGCTGGAACCGTTGTCTAGCTGTCGTCGCTGATTCGCCGGCCGGTCGCTGCAATTCTGTCACCGGCGTCTCCGAACCAAGAGGCAGAGCTCTGCTCTCCTCCTACTGCTCGCGGGGTCGTCTACTGCTGCTAGAGGCGTTCGCCACAGCAGAGAAAAGATCCTTCGTCCCGCGTGCTAGTCGCTCTCGTTGCTGGGTCGGGGGGGAGTCGTCGCCGCTAATGATCACCATCCCTCGTGCTGCTGCATGTTTTGGTCGGGGAAGGAGAATCAGAGAAGAGGGGGAGGCGGCGATCGAATAAAGAGATGCTTGAAAAGCCTAGGGTTTTGTACTCTTGTTTAAATTAATGTGTCTCGTAAAAAACACACTTTTCGTACTAACTTGCTCCAATTGAGATCCGTTCGCCTCATTGGATTTGATTCTTCGATCCCTACCCAATGATATAACTCTTACAATCAAACGACATGCATTTATAAGTTCCACCTGATCCGTTCTAATTCTTTTGATTAATTAGTGTCGATCCGTCTTCTAATTCAAATCTTTTCAAATATAATCAGATTAGTCTCTTTATATTGAGACGATTAGAATCTCTAAAATATCTTTAAATTCTTTAAAAGAATGGGTTGTCATAAATAAATAATTCTTATTTATTTAGCGATTAACTTTTAGACCGGTTTCTAGGGCGTTACAGACACGGTCAGGCCATCGCAGGTCGCGGTGATAGCAACACAGGTCTTGGTCACGGCGCAAGTCTTAGTCACGGCGCAGGTCGCGGACTATGCAATGGCGACCTTGCTGAAATGGTGCCAGACCTTGTTGAGGGCGCCATGGAAGCACTTGTTGAAGAGAATCCGTTCTAGGCCCAGTTCTTCCAGGATTGAGAAACTCTACAGGTTATATGTTATCTCTTAAAAATGGCATCACCATGTTTTCAAACATTTTCTATTTTGCTGGATAAATTACATCTCCATTGAGAAACTTTGCAGGTTGTTTTTGCTATTAAAATGGCACATCTTTGTTTAGCCTATGATAAGTACTAAGCACTAACTGGATAAATTTCTTAACAACTTGTTTTTGCTGTTATAATGGCGTATCTCTGATTCCTGAAAAAATTGAATTATGATTTATTTATGTTATGTGATGTTATTGGAATTGATTGAACGAGGTTGATCAAGTATGTTTTCTACATTAAATTGTGTGGATTCCATGATGATCTAATTAATTAATTCCGTTCTCTTGATTTATTGTAACTGTAGTGTGATATGTCTTAAACGGATGAAGTAAACTAAGTTTGTTGTTAGATTAGATTTGAATAAGTAAAGTAATTTAATGACGTAGGTTGCATAGAAGAACTCTAGGAGTGCATTGTGAGAATTAAGATTTGTAAAGTTGACAATAGGTGTAGAGCCTTGTGGGCTTAGTCCAGTGGCATTCGGGTAAAGATGTACGTACATGGAATCTAGGATCTGATCCTTAGGATTGGAGGTTCCACCCAACCGGCGCCATAGGTACCAGGTTGACCAGAATCATGGCTGCAGGTAGTGGTTTTGATGTCATAGAATAGACTTGAGTCATTGCCATAGAAGTGACTCTAAGTCCTAAGATAAGAATGTTGATAATGAGGAATTAGTCTTAGCCTAGAATAGGTTATGAGCTAGTGTTGGATATGAATTAATGTAATGACTTGAATCTTGTGATAATGACATGTGCAGGTCAAGAGCCAAAGTAAGTGATCTAAATTATGTTATTATAACGTAGTTGTTTTATCTAATGATTGTCATGTGATACTTTTGTTGTTGTACTTGTGTGCATGATATTGTATGAAGTTATGAGCTAGTGGGGTTGTCTTTGTGCATAATCGAAACCCTGGATATTTCTCACTTAGCTTAAATACTTAGCGTGTAGCCCTTTTCGTCCTATTTGCTACACGTAGGTAACATGAACGATGAATAAGGAAACTATTCTAGAGGGTAGCGAGGGCAGAGTGGTGGATGGATGATGGCCGGAGGAGTTATCTACTTTATATTATAATTGAATTCATTATGTTTTAAGGGCAAAAACCCAAGTTGTATTTTGAATTGAGTATTTTAAAGCTTCCGCACCATTTTGTTAACTCTAACGAATGTTTTAAATAATGTTTTGAATTAAATATTTTAATTTTTTTTTGAAAATTGCTGTGTTTAGATACCAATTTAGTGACAACTCGATTTACCGGTGTTTGTATTTGGGTCGCATGGGTCGGGTGTTACAGGACGTTTTCCTTGATTATTGCGATCGGGTGGGCGACAAGGTTCGACAGGCATGAAGTACTTCTCGTCATCTTCATCAAAGTTGTTCAAGGATATTTTGACTCTAGATGAGGAATGGCCTGAACCCATGTCGGTTGGCGAATCTGTCTTCCACCCTTTTGAGACTAGAAGTCTCACGACTGTATGCCACTTCGTGGGTTCACGCATGACTTCCCATGCCTTGATACTCGGGATCCCGCCACACTCACGAGCGTATTGGGTCTTGGTCAGAACTTGTGAGTCAATTTGCACACTCATTCTCAACCTATTCACCTCGTTCCAATGTCAAAAAATTTGGAAACCTCCGCTTACATGTCTCGCCATTTACTCGAGATCATGTCGTTGGTGCGGTATTCATCGCGGCCCATTGTCTCAAAAAATTGACCTTGAATGCAAGTTCGAAACTCTGACCATGTTTGTTTATGCTCTAAAAAAGAATAAACTTAAGTCGTTAGGAGAATAAAATAAAAACATAAAAACATAAAAAATAAAAATAAACAAAAAATAAAAACTAAAAAAATTAAACCCATACCAATATGATGATCTTCAGAGGTGTCGATGTAGGGTTTGGAAAGTGCAACATCCTCTACCTCTATACATTTGGTCATTGCATGGTTTGTAAGTTTTGTCGGCACTTCTTCTTCTTGAGTTTTCTCTTCGAGGGTGTCGGTTCGGAATTGGTGGCGGGTTAGAATTGAGGATATGCTTCAAATTGGGTTTTGGGAACATATTTGTTCCTATATTTGGGTGTGGGTTTTGTGGGTTGGGTATGTTGGAATGGTGGGGTAGGAAATTGGCTCGGTCAGAACCAATTCGGGTATTTATATGTAAGGTTTGTCAGTGAATTCAGAGAACTTAGATTATTTGGATCGATTTGGGGTTGATAAGAAGTATGTGGATGAATGATTGAATGTCCATCCTCCACCTCTTACAATCTATTTATATAGGGTGGATGGGGTTTGATGGGAAATAATACGTGGCTCGGCCCACATTTCCGAATTATTTACGAAGAACAGTCAAACCAGGCCTGTTTAATAAAATAGAGGAATAAGAGAATATTCATCCGTAGATGCTCCGACTCTCTCCTATAAAAGGAGGGCTCCCCCTCAATGTTAGGGGAGGCCAATTTCACTCCTCTCCTGCTACTTTCTCTCTCTAGGTATTTTTAGAGTATATTTTTCCTTCTTCAAGAGCTTCTAGCTCCACCATTAATGACTTCCGAGCCGAACTCTTGTACTGTGTACACACCCCCGATATTAATAAAAATCCCCCGTTGGCAAGGTACCGCCAAAAAAGGTCCGTGGTTTTCTCCCGATTTGGGTTTCCACGTCAAAATCTCCGTGTTTATATTTTGGTGTATTTTTAGACTAGTTTATCGTTTTAGCCAGGCTAAAAACGGTATACCGGTCGATAATTTACACCATCAGGGTTAATTAAGGTAACAAGCCCCTACTCAGGCGCGGGCCTAGCGCCAATCAACATTTACATTAGTAGTCTGGGTGTCATCAAGGAATTTGTTTCTTTGAGGTCCCACAACATAACCTACGAGAATTTTATTCTCCAAAGTCCTCCAGCATGACCAGGAAATTTTCTTGCTAGTTGTTTGATTAATGATCACATGACGAGCCATATGTAAGATAGTTATCTGGCCATTCATGTTTCTATAGTAATGATACGCTCATATGAGACCATTGGTTACTTCATGTTGAGTGTTGATCTTCCACACATGCTAGACACATATGTTTGCTCCTCCTTGTGCTAACTGGTCCTATTATCGACGACCGATTACTCTAGATGGTGTTTCCTCTATTACTTGCCTAACCTTTCATATTTCATGAAATGTCTAATCATTTCAAGATTTGACCCGTCACATCTTTTGGAGCATTATTGACAATTTTGGGAATTAAAAACTTGATCGGCCATAACTTGTGACCATCATTGTGTTTTGTGACCATGCCCTTTTTGGTGATCATGGTCATGACTTGTGACGAAGCCCATCTTTTGTGACCAAGTACATGTTTTGTGACCATATCCATTTTTGGGTGATATGCTTCGGACTTGTGACCATGCCTGATGTTTGTTGACCATGCTCGTTTTTAGTGATCACGCCCATGCCTTGTGCTCATGGCTCGTGACCATGCTCATTTTTTGTGACCATGATCATAACCATGTCATTAGCTTGACCATGACCATGAAAGTATCTTGACTATGACCAAGCCAGTAGCGCAACCATGATTATGCAACTAGCTTGACCAGTAACTTGATCATGGCCATGCTAGTAACTTGACCATGCAACACCCTTCACAAAAGTTGAGGATATAGATTAAATTGATCGGGCTTGCCTTTATACATGACCACCTAGGTTGGGGATACTATCTGCCAAGGAGTCTTCCACTTTTTGTCCTTGTATGAATCATCAACGGTGAAAAGTAATCACGGCAAGAGAATCATCACACCCTGAGATTTCTTTCCCAAAATGAGGGTCCAACTCTATCTTTCAGCCTTTGAATATCTAAGGCCTTCCGGTACACCACATCCATTAGAATAACAAACATACTGTGATGAGCATGAATCCATTTAAGGTTTGTCTCTGAGTAGTGAAGATATTATACCTGTGTGGTCTTACTCTACCTCCGACTATCCTATTTGTATACTATGTCTGTAATTGTCGTATGTGTTTGAGCATTATTCCATTTGTTTGCAAGCCTCCAAAAAGTACAGTAGCCAACAACAACAACAACATCCCAGTTGAATCCCACTACAGTAGGGTTTAGGTGTAGCCAACATAAGAGGAAAAATGAAAATTGAAGACAAAATACTACAAGGACATAAGTTAGAAGAAAATGAATAGAAGTGAATGAAGAAAAAGCATGCCAAATAAGGAAAGAGGTGGGAGATTATATAGGAGTGCACATCATATCCTGTTTGATTTTTTTTGAGATGTTTGGGCAGGTAGTATTGTAAAAATACGAGACAATATGAATGTTTTTGGATGATTTGATAATGTTTTGATGTATTAAACCCATACTTTTCCCTTATTTTAGAAACAGTAATATTACTCCGTATTGTTCATTTTTTTATTTGGCAAGTGACTTTCTTCTCCTTCCTTTTCTAGTAAGGGTATTGTTGTCATTTTGAGGCCTTGGTCAACTTCCACTAAAAATGATAAATAGTCAAACTCAGAAGTTTTTTTCCACACGGAGGGAGTATATTTTAGACTATAGTACATTTTTTTCACTATCCATTGGAAGGGTTAAAAAGTACTCCCTCCGTCCCTCAGTTTTTGTCCACTTTTGTCTTTTGGAACTGTTTATCTAAGCACTTTGACTCATCAAATTCTCTCAATGTGTAAGCCTAAATATAGTCATGTGTGATCTTGTTTGATTTGTGTTAACATATAGATTATTAATATATACTCCGTAATTTCTATAATTTTTTAATATACAAATTACAAGATAAAATGGATTAAAGAAATGCATTGAATGATGTGCAAAAATGAAAGTGGACAAAAACTGGGGGACGGAGGGAGTATATATTGTATATTGTAGTGTATAAAGTACGAAGTATATACTACCTCCGTCTCACTCTCTTTGTCCACTTTTGACTTTTGGAACTGTTCATCTAAACACTTTGACTCATCAAATTCTCTCAATGTATAAGCCTAAATATAGTCATGTGTGATCTTCTTTAATTTGTCTTAACATATAGATTATTAATATATAATTTCTATAATTTTTTAATATACAAATTATAAGATAAAATGGATTAAAGAAGTGCATTGGATAGTGTGCGGGTGTATAACAATATACACCTTTAACACCCTTTGCATTGTACCATTGTAGATGCTCTAACAAAAAAGAAAAACAAAATTGGATCGAAGAGCGTACATATTCAAAACCCTTTCCCCCAAGTCTCTTCCATTAAAAAAAAATTTCAAATTCACAATCATCTGCGCCTCCCTCTCCATTCTTCTCTCGCATATGAGATACAGATACATTTGTATCGGCCATACATACCTATAAGGGGATTTTTGTCAGGTCCGGAGTTGCGGCGAAGATGAGCAGCGGCGGCAGCAGCAGCACCACCAGCAAGAACAGTAGCCAGGCCGGTGGTGGAGCAGCGGCTAGGGTTTCAATCCCGAGCGGCGTGTCGAGGACGATCCAGCAGATAAAGGAGATCACAGGAAATCACAGCGAGGAAGAGATATATGCGATGCTCAAGGAATGCTCCATGGATCCCAATGACACTATCGCTAGGCTTATCTTTCAGGGTAGGCCCTCGCCCACCCCTCTCTTGCCGCCCGTTTCCCTTTTCTGCCTATTTGCTTGGTTGTATTTTCATGTCTACATTCGTGCATGCATTTATAGCTTTCATAGTATGTGGACTGGTAATCAGGCCTGATCTTTTTTCCATTTCTGATCCGGACTTAGTCTTCATTACTCTGCTGAGTGTTTCCATTTCCAATTAGATTTCTTGCTGTGTGTACCTATTTTTTCTCTCATTTTATATGTACTTATCAAGTTATTAGTGATTTCTCATATTGCCTGTCTTATCCATATCAACTGAGCCTACTGCGATCAGCATTATCAGTGGTTAGGCAGAGAAAATGGAAAATGAGATAAGTTTTGCATCAATGTTCAGCTCTTATCCAGTTCTCTTTATGCGAGTTCTTGAATGGCCTCAGTAGTATGCTACTATAATTATCCATTTCTGTTTCTCACATGTAAAAGGTGGCATTTTCCTTTTTTTTGTCTGGATTTTTTACAACAAACTGCAGCATTGTTCATTTTTCCGATTTCACATCTGGAGATGTTTTATGCTATTCTGCTTACGACCTATAAGTCATCTACAAAGTTTTGATACTTCCTCCCATAACTAAATTCATAAAACTGACTATGATGTTTGACTGAATTCATTTCCCATTTTGTTTATTTAAGTACTGGTATAAACTTTTAAAATAAAGTTTATATACTTAAAAATGATGTCAAATGCTCTATAAAACATGAGGTATACTGATATGGCTATTTTATTTTAAGAAATGATTAGCAAAGATAAGTAAAGAAAAACATTTTTGACCTATGAATAGTGTTTGTGACTTTAGTTTTGTAACAGAGGAAGTATTTAAATAGTATCCACTCCATTCAAGCTTGTTTCATCTTCTACTTTCATATTTGCTTCTTTAGGCTGGACACCGTATACCATCTATAAAGAAATGTTTATGAGGTTTCCAAGAGAATGAGAATGTAATTGATAGAAGTCTTCAGTCCTTGTTATATTGTCTCAAATGTATGTGTTTCATTCTTTTTTTAACAACCAGTGCCAGCTGTCAATGTTCTTTTGGGTAGGTAGTTACTTATTAC